TCTGATTATTTCAATTAAAAGTGGATGTTTGCAAAGAGACATTTTAATCGCCTGAAGGCAAGAAAGAGAGTCAGAAAATATTATATATTGTTTATGTTTGGGATGTCTTTCAATATATTTAAGAGCTGTGAAGATGGCGTTTGCTTCTGCTGTAAATATAGAGCTGTTATCAGGTATTCGAGAAGATATTGTTCTGGATCCAATGACAGTGGCACATGCCACCGCGCCACCATCCTTGGACCCATCTGTAAATAAGGATTTTGTATGTATTATAGTTATTCTTTAATTGATTATATTCTTGTTTATACTGTAATTCGTTTGTTTCTGTTTTTAAACTTTGTCAGTGTTAGGTCAACTTGTGGCCTCACTAATTGCCAAGGAGGAGAAGAAAGAAGACGGGAAGGAGATATATTCTCCAACTCAATGCCAGCAGCAGAAATATATTGTTGGATTCTTATCCCAGAGGTGGAACAAGTGAAGGTTTTTATCATACAAGTCCTCATAAAGAGGATTAAAAACGCAAGTGTGAGCAGGATTGGATTCATTAGAATATAACTTTGTGATATATTGTAGGGACAATTTGATACGGCGAAGTTTTAAAGATGGCTCATCGGCCTCAACGTAGAGACTGTCAATGGGAGAGGTTCTGAAAGACCCAAGACAAAGTCTTAGACCCTGGTGATGGATAGAATCAAGTAGTTTGAGATTGCTTTTTACAGGCCCCACCATATACGATAGAGCCGTAATCAAGTTTTGATCGGACCAGTGATCTATACAATGAAGGAGGGTGGTTTGGTCCCCTCCCACTTTGAACTGGAAACGACTTTCAACAAGTCGAGTGCTTTCAGGCATTTGGCTTTTAGATTTTGATATGTGGCAGAAAGGTTAAATGCGAATCAAAGATGAGACCAAGGAATTTAGCTTCCTTGACAACTTTGATGGGTGTGCCATTTAGAGATAATTCAGGATCTTTATGGGGTTTGTATTTCCTACAAAAATGTAGACAGTTGGTTTGGATTTCGAAAATTTAAACCCATTTTCAAGACACCATTTATGAATTTTGTTGAGACAAATTTGTAATTGTCTCTCAATAGTTCGCATGTTTTTACCACGGCAAGAAATATTAAAATCATCCACGAAAAGAGATCCATCGATTGAATCACTTAAAACCTTTGACAGACTATTTATTTTAATACTAAAGAGTGTGACAGATAAAATACTGCCTTGTGGGACACCCTGATCCTGATTGTAATGATCAGACAGGGTAGAACCCACTCGAACTTGAAATTGCCTGTCCGTTAAAAACTGTGATATAAAAAGAGGCAAACGGCCTCGCAATCCAAAATCGTGTAAATCTCTTAAAATACCATGTTTCCATGTGGTGTCATATGCTTTTTCTAAATCGAAAAAGATCGACACTGCATGTTGTTTTTTAATAATGGCATTTTTAATAAAGGATTCTAAACGCACTAAATGATCGATAGTACTTCTGTTTTTACGAAAACCACATTGAATGTCTGTTATAAGGTTATTAGTTTCCAAAATTACCACACAAGTCGATTATTTATCATGCGCTCCATGGTCTTGCAAACGCAGCTAGTTAATGAGATTGGTCGATAATTCGAAGGATCAGTATGATCACGTCCAGGTTTAGGGATGGGTACAATAATAGCATCGTGCCATGAAGAAGGAAATTGTCCAGAAGTCCAAATATCATCAAAATGTTTAAAGGGTTTCTAAGCATGAATCCGGTAAGGTGTTTCAGGAGCTGATAATGTATGTTATCAGCACCTGTAGCCGTATCATGAGCTTGATCAAGAGCTGTATGAAGCTCATGAATAGAAAACAGTTCATTGTAATCTTCCCCATTATCGGAAATGAAATTAATAGTTTTCTTTTCCTGTTGTTTTTTATAATTTTGGAATTGAGGTAAATAATTCGATGAGGAAGAGTGTTTGGCCAAAGTTTCTCCAAGTTTATTTGCAATATCAGATTGACTAGTTAATAATTCGTCTCCATCTTTAAGATGTTTAATGCTAGATTTAGAACCCTTACCTTTTATTTTCTGGATCATATTCCATACTTTTGATATCGGCGTTCGTGAATTTATTTGTGATACATAACTTCGCCAGGATTGACGTTTATTTTGCTTGAAGGTACGCCGTGCCTTAGCATTTAAAATTTTAAATTTATTCAAATTATGGACCATAGGATGGCGACGGAAATAATTCTCAGCTTTCTTCCGTGCCTTCCTAGCCTGTTTGCACTCATTGTTGAACCATGGTTTTCGTATGTGTGGAATTGCAGAGGATTTGGGGATACACTCATCAGCAATATTAATTAGTTCATCAGAGAAATCCTTTATAGGATCAGTACATTCTATAAAAGTTCGGGTTTAAGTCTGCTACAACACAGAGCTTGATACAAGGGCCAGTTAGCTTTTTTAAAGTTCCATCTCGAATATGGAGTAATATCAGTTGGGTTTATAGGTTTTAGAATAGTAGGAAAATGGTCACTTCCACATAGGTCATCATGGACTGACCATTCAAATTCATTTAGTAATTCTGAATTCGTGATTGATAAGTCGAGAGCAGAATAGGTTCCTGTACCAGGGTGTAAATACGTGTTGGAACCATCATTATAAATACATAAGTCATTGTCTGAACAAAACTCCTCCAGTAGTTTACCTTTAGCGTTTGTATAGACACTACCCCAGAGTGGGTTGTGCCCATTTAAATCTCCCAGAATAATACAGGGCTTCGGGAGTTGGTCATATAGAGCTTGAAGATCAGCTTTGTGAAACGTTGAAGACGGAGAAATATATACAGAACACAATGTAAACGCAACATGTAAAGTAATTCGCACTGCAACAGCCTGCAGATGAGTAGTTAGTGACACTGGGCTCTGGATAACATTCTGTTTGACTAAGATGGAAGATCCGCCAGTGGCCCTGTCACCCGGAGGTGAAAAACAATGATATGCATTGAAAGAACGCAGGACAAAATCATCTGTCTGTTTTAAATAGGTCTCCTGCAGACAGAACGCTGATGGTGTTAAATCCTGGACTAAAAGCTGCAAGTCATTGAAATTAGTCCTTAATCCTCTGCAATTCCACTGTATGATATTATGCTGATAACCTATCTTTTAGGGGGATTTATTGGGGATCTACCCCGCACTTGTTTGGTGGGCGACAAGCTGTGTGCCCTATTACGGACGTTTTCAGACACGTCCATATCCTCAAGAGATCCATATTTATTGAATAATTGAATTTGATTTTCTGACCCCTTTGGGGCTCTGCCACTGAGTTTTTTTGGTAACGTCTGGCTTTTTAGTTTTGGTTTTAACGAGACCTTGTTGAGACTTTGTTGACAACTGAGAAGATGGTTCATGATCAGGGGATGTCTCTGATTGGGTTCGAGATGTACCGGGAAGTGAGTTTACAGTTTGTGTAGACGTAGCAGGCGAGACAGGTTTAGGAGATTCTGTTTTGACCCAGGTTAAGTCTGTCTGACAACTAGCAGATACTTTAGTTACTCTAGATGTTGCCTCAGCCGATGTTCTGGCAATGGAAGCATAACTGTCTGTCTGTTCTGAGCCGTGGACTAGTTTCTTGGCATCTGCAAAACTAATGTTTTGCGTGAATTTTATTTGATTGATTGCCATTTGCTGTTTCCATACGGGACAGTCCTTAGAGTAAGCTGGGTGGTTCCCTGCACAGTTGATGCACTTTTTGACAGTACTGTTACAATCTTCTGTTGTGTGTGTCTTTTCACCACAGTGAGCACACACAACAGACAATGTACAGGTATTTACGCCGTGGCCAAACTTTTGACATTTAAAGCACCTGAGAGGGTTTGGAATGTAAGTCTCCACATTGAGGTTACAATAACCTGCCTTGAGAGATTTTGGAGCAATGGGTAAAGAAAAAGAAAACAGATACGTATTGGTTTTGATGGTTGTATCGTTTTACGTGTAGAAAAACGTTTCACATAGAGTACACCCTGATCCTTCATTTCGGAAACGATATCTAGTTCCGACATGTCAGCCAGTAATCGCTCACGATCTCTTACGATTCCCTTGCTCGTGTTAAGGGTCTTGTGAGCCGTAACGGTGACGGAATGCCGACAAAAGTTTCAGTGTTCAGTAGGTTGTTTGATTGGTGCCTCTTGCCACACTCAATTAACAACGCACCAGAACGTAATCTTTAACATTCTTCACATCGCCAGCAATGCCTTGGATACCTTTAGACACAGCAAAAGGATTTAATTTTAATGGTGTATCATCTTTGGTCTGAATTACAACAAAACGTGGCCAGTAATCAGTTTGTTTGGGCAGTCTAAGTTCGTTGTCAACAGGGTCATTGTCAAGAGGACGTTTGGTTTTTTTGTTTGGAGTTTGATAAGCCATGGTTAGTTTTTAATGGTTCATCATCCGAGCTCCCCACCCACCACGGAGTATCACAAGGACAATGCTAAACACAAGTGGATCTCCAACTTGTAGCACCAAGGATACTCGGATGATATACTCAAGCAGAAAAACTAAAAGATTAATTTTTCTACCAGATTGGCCCATGAGCCACCGCCTTCTGGGTATAGTACTCTAGGCAAATTACAAAAGTGAAATATTTACAAATTCAAAAACATAAACATGAAGCCAAGTCAATTCAGAAAACATTTTCTAAAGTGTCTAAAACGTGTGTATCAAAATATACATACACAGGGCTTGGCATGACCAGCCGATTGATAGAACCGGGCCAGTTCTACCACCCGTCTAGGTGAAGTCAGGGCCGAAGTGGTGTGTTGGGCAAAGGAACACTGTTCCTGGAACCAGTGCCCTCAACCACCAGAATCCCTTCCTCCACCGACACAGGGGCGCAACCCACGGCAAACGGGTTGGTGGACCAAAATATCCCCCCCGGGTCCACAACGGGGGGTTGAAAGGCGCTTAGCGTGACCCAGCACCCACCACGAGGAGGTGGCCTTTCATGGGTGCCCCGAGAAGTTAAAGCCAATATATAACACAAAGTATGCCACATGAAATCAGGCGACGTGACATCCAATAGTGTGCTGAGCAAATCACCAGTTAGACTGGATTCTATGTAAAGCCACGAGGGACTCAAATACCACGGCCATAAAAATCAATTTCCTTTTTGCTGAAGCAAGGGACAATAAACAAAATCACTTCTCGCATGATTGTAAGCACTTGTTGACTGAATACATAAATACGGATATCAGACTGTACAAATAACATAAAGCCTACTGGGAAAGACACCATTGTATTTGTAGGAAGTGGAAGAGAAAACTACTTTGAGTTTGTCAGAATTCAATGACAATGAATACATGAGTGTTCATTAGTGATGACAGCATAGCAAGCATCAGTTTGATTTGTTCTCCTTTTTGATTAGCATTAGGGTGCTGAAAACCTATTCTGAGAGAGCAAGGCAGATAATTCTATTGACATATACGGTCTTTATTGCAAATAGTGCTGAGTTTTCGCCTCAAAACTAAAACCGATGTTAAGCGGATATAGTCGCACTTCTCCAATGTCATCTGAACATGTCTGTGTTTGTGGGAACTGCTTTTAAGGCTAATACCTGACTGTGTTTTATACATGTCTGTAGAATGAATGACTACTACATTGTTCTATCTAATTTCACTTGGCAATAACTGAAAAGAAAATGGAGACTTGCGTGGATTTTGTTTTATTTATATACAATATTATACGGATGTAAACTGCGAATTATGTGGTTATGTTACATGTATTTCGGTTGAAGAACATCATCAATCGCAAAAACATCCTCCAGTTTTTACTGTTCACATATTGGGGCTTCATCAACACAACCTTCCACACCAGGTCTATGGCTGAATATCCTGACTGTTTGGGTAGAGGACCATGTCTCCAATAGGATCACATCCCGCACACCAGCCTCCACATACCAGATCAATGACAGCACCATCTTGTGACCGGGTAACACTGTACACTTTGGACCCGTATCCGTCTCCAGTCCACCCGAGCTGGATATGAAAATATGCATCACAATGCATTTTACATGACAAGCCTATACTATAATGAAGCATGACCATAATTGTATGATTACAGCAATCATGGTTTTGTTAAAAGAACAGATACTACGTTCAAAATATGGTAAATTTACATTTTACTTTGAAAGTTTTGGGACTTACGTACCCTCTCAGGAGGTCGTTGTGATAACACATATGTATATTCTTGGAATGTTATGAATAGTACATTTCAGTACACATACACACATACACGCACACGCCAGTACATATAATGCTTGCGTGCTGAATCACTTACATCAGAGGCAAACTTCATCCCAGTCCCCAGTGTGTCGATGTGAAAGGTCCCCACTCGTTTGCAGTGTCCCTTATATGAGTAACAATCCTCTGCTCTACCAAACTGATGTGGCTCCGTCTTGGTCCCGCTGGTAAAGGTGATGTCAGTTTTCACAACAGTCATTGTCTGAAGCACGGAATTGTACCACTTTGTCAGGAAATATTTCCACAAACTAATAACATACCCTACAAACTTGATTGTGTACATTTTTAAGAGAGCATCGGTTATCGTCTCTCAAATTGGTATAACACTACCTGGGTATAATACTGACACAGTAAGGGACAGAATAGATTTGTGGCACGCTTACCGATGCACCGTATCTACACATGTCTCAATTATATATATAATTACTGCGAAACACACGTAAATGAAATCAACGATTATCTGCTGGCCAGACACACTGGTGTTTGTTAACAGAATTGAACAGGTTAAATTGTACACACTCCTAAACTGTTTTGGAAGGGGAAAGAGACGTTTGTAAAAATAAGGACGTCATGTGTATTGTGATAGAGAAAACATTGTTTTGATTTGAGATCTAAATTGAAATGTGCATTTACCGACGGTAGAATTCTGATCTTCTGATACACTGTTACTCCATCTTTGCCAACAGCAACTGCCGGTAAATATGACACCTCATTTCCACAGTTACCATTCGACCTTTTAGGATAGTTTCCGACGTTCTCGTTTGGCAGTGTGACATACTCCAGCTGGTGTGTGTCATTCATCAAGCAGTAAACCTTCACTGACATTCCCCTGAACTGAGGAGCTGAAGGCATGATGGTATACTCTCCACTGTGAGCAGCTGGGTTGTCCTTCCTGATCTCTGAACATGTCGCAGGATCTGTAAATGTGGCACAACCGGAGCATTTGAAGTAACAATATTGGACTCTGTCACATAGCTTCTAAAATAACGAATTACAAAAATTTATTTTATTTACAATAAGAATTACATTTTCGTTCTTGTCAATATTCGTTTATATTTCAACTTCAGCAGGACAGAACGTATTATTGTCCAAAGTCGAAAGGATAAATAACCTTTATTATCAGGAATTTCTACTAAATTCCTTTGTACTCGACTAATTATGTTGTACGGTTCCAGCAATACCATCAATAAGCGTCGAGGAATAACTATCAAATGGTATTGTCGGCAGTGTATGGTATTTTTTTAAATGTAAAATACCAATAAAAATCAAAATTTCCCTTACAAACGTTATGATTGTATCAAATTGTTACTGGTAAAGTTATTGTCCCGGTGAGAGGAATACAATCGCCAAAAGCCGAACGGATCCATGCAGGTAGCAAAACAACCTTAAGTACCCATGGTCCCAACAGTTTTAGATATACAGACTAGTTTTACACCTCTACTTCTGATCTTCGTATTCTTCAATTCTGACAAGGGATTGTTTCATTTGTAATCCTATTTCATTCAAAGTATGTTCACACCATGCATTTTTAATTTCAGAATATATGTTCGTTAATGCTTGGCTGAATAATAATACAATCGCCAACGGCCGAAGGGATGGTGAAAATCGAGATGGGATCCATGCCGGTAGCAAAAGTACTTTAAGTACCCGTGGTGACAAGTATAGTTATATTACTTCAAACATCTAAAACAGTTTTAGATTTACATAGTTGTTTTACAACTTAAACTCCGATTTTCTTATTTCTCAATTCTGACATGGAATTGTTGCATTGGTAATCTTGTGAATGAAATTGTGCACTTGAACCAGAAAAAGGCTTGGTTAAACAGTCATTCGAATTGAGGTGAGGTGAGGTGAGGTGAAATTGGGTTTTACGTCGTGCTTGAGAATACTTCGATCATATGACGACGTGCATGCGTGTGTATGTGTATGTGCGGCTGCTTGTACTAGCCCAGACTTAAGTTGTTTTTTAGTGCTAGCCCACCGAGATACCATGCCGCAGTGAAGCATGAATACCCCACTCAGACACATTATACTGACTCAGAGACGACCAGCCCTTGTTGTACCCATTAATGCCGAGCGCCAGGCAGGGACCAGCAAGTATTTTAACGTCTTTTGGAATGACGTTGTCGGGGATCGAGCCCGCGACCCGCTCTCCGGGCAGACGCCCTAACCACTACACAATGGAGGCGGTCCATTGTAGGAAGCATGACATATACTGGATAATCATCGCCGGCAATGTCTATATTGAAAGGTTTGCAACAAGACGCATATCATTTCCAAAAATAAGAATGTGATGAATATATGTGTTTTGAAACTAAAACTCATGTTCATGAATGCAGACCTGTTCTCGTCGCTAATGCCTGAAATAATGCCGATGTGACGTAAAGCCCAACTCAATCAATCAATCAAATCCACTCAATGCACACTTCAAAAGTATAGAGTCCAAAGTATGGTGATCTACCTTCAGTTGTTGGCAATATATAACCTGTTTTTATATTGTATTGTTATTTATCGTTTATACGTTTTAGATTTAATTACTAGTTTGAAATATATATCTGTGATAGTTTAGTTGTTTTAATATGTCCTTTCAATTACTATAAATCTATAATTTAATTTAGTCATGATATGGCTGAAATATTGCCGATGTGACATAACATACTAACTCACTCATTCAGAAGTATAGAAACACTATTATTCATCATTCTGGACAAGTTCCATTTGAACATTGTCGACGGAAATGAGTGAGTGAGTGAGTGAGTGAGTGAGTTAAGATTTAAAGTCACATCGGCAATATTTCAGCCATATCGTGACTAAAACTAGTTCTAAATTCATAATACATACATATAATATATACAACCCTGCCAACGAAGGACAGTAAAACCACTAGATTATCACAGATTGAGTTAAAACTAGCTAGCATATATCTTTAAAAGTAGAACATTATTTTTAGACAATACAATGAAAAAATGGCCTACTGATCGCCAACAACTGAAGGTAGATCACCATACAAGGGACCATGGGGACTTAAGTACCTTTGCTACTTGCATGGACCCTAGTTGGATTTACACCATTCCTTCAGCCGCTGGCGATTGTAGGAAAAGTTTAGCCGAATTTTAAAGGAACAAATATACTACGTTTAAAAATCGGGTAAGCACAAATTTAACTTTCAAAGTTTTGGGACTTATGTACCCTCCCAGGAGGACAATAATTTTACGATACGTTAACCCCCTTCGAGGATACAGCCACTAATAATCGCAGTTGCAAATTTATACTACCATGTTTAAAATACCATTTATCTATTTCGACGGAAATGTCAGATGGATAGAGCTACAGATATGGTTCGGTCACGATCCATTCCTGCGTGTTGTGCGTCAAACATAGAAACACTATTTGGCTTTTATGGCAACGCTTTTGACAAAACAATCAAGAAACGACCCCTCGTCAAGACCGAGAGTGACACTGATTGCGTTTGTTGTTTGTGAGTGACAATACCGTTTGCCCTTGAGTGAGCATTTTAGCGTCTATTCGGTCTTGGGCACATAATACTTTTTTCCTGATGATAGAAATCAATTGCAAAGTCAGTAGTGGTGGAATGAAGAAGATTTCACAAAACAAAGATATCATTCTTGCAAAAGTCTGATCGAAAGATCATCAAAGCACAAATCAGTGTCAGTGCACTAACTGCAATGGAAAGCATTTCTCCTCATCCAGAACATATCCATGGTTCGAACGAGGATAACACATCCTAAGATAAATATGTATGTCCTTACTTGAAGTCAATAATAATAGTTCGTACGCCATCTGATGTTTGTTTGTCAGCAATATTTCAGCTTTTTGCGTGAGTGAGTTAAAATTAATCCTCAATATTTCAGAAATATTGTGTTCTCCATCTGAAACCCCTACCACAGAGCACTGAATTCTGATTTCTTCCCCGACTTCAATAAATACAGTTGCCAAAACCTCTATCATGTCAATCATCAGTATCAAAGTTACAAATCAACTGATACTTCATGAAGTTGTTCTGATGTGCCAAAAACAGATAAACAGGTATATGTCATTTTCCCAGACAGACAAGTGCCGTCACATCTGAACCATTTGCTGGTGGCTCAAAGAGGGTTAACATATTGTAAAGATTTTGTCCCCTAAGATTGTATTTAAGACCATGTCTTTCAATGTAAAGCACGTGTTTTATCGAATACACTCTTCATAAAATAGAAACGTATAGGTGATTTTTAGGATATTGGATACTTGTAGCTGCGGATTAAACTATACATATATGCTATTTCTTTTCAAAACGGCATCTTTGTGTGATTGTACACAGTTTCAGTGCCAATGTGAACTTTTTTCCCTTGTTTTAAAAAAGCGTTTGAAGAAATATTCACCAAAACGTCACAAACAAGAAGACAAAGTCATCAATATCCCCAGCAATTGCAAAATACTCTTCATGATTATGTCTACGAGTTATGATTATGTCAAATATTTAGGTGTGTATATAGAAAAGTGGAAGGAGAGTATTGAAAGGTTTTGAAAGTTCTGCTCCAGAAAGGAGCACTGTCACCAATTTCATTCTATGTCAAACTTGTTGGCATGGAAATGCCAAAAATATTTTATTCAGAATTCCAAAACTACCAAAAGGCACCAGTACACCACCAGATCTATCTATGTGCCAAGTTTGGTGAAGAAATAGTGAATGGTTTTAGAGTTCTGCTACGGAAAAGAGCACAACCACCAATTTCAGTCTTAGTCAAACTTGTTGCCATGGAAACGCCAAAAATATTTTATTCAGAATTCCAAAACTACCAAAAGGCACAAGAACACCACCAGATCTATCTATGTGCCAAGTTTGGTGAAGAAATAGTGAACACTTTTAGAGTTCAGCTCCGGAAAAGAGCACTACCACAATTTCAGGCTAAGTGAAAATTGCTGCCATGGAAACGCCAAAAATATTTTATTCAGAATTCCAAAACTACCAAAAGGCACAAGTACACCACCAGATCCATGTATGTGCCAAGTTTGGTGAAGTAATATTGAACGGTTTTAGAGTTCTGCTTCGGAAAAGACAAATTTGCACGTACCACCAATTCCAGGCTAAGTGAAACTTGTTGCCATGGAAATGCCAAAATTATTTTATTCAGAATTCCAAAACTACCAAAAGGCACCACTACACCACCAGATCTATCTATGTGCTAAGTTTGGTGATGAAATAGTGAACGGTTTTAGAGTTCTGCTCCGGAAAAGAGCACTACCACCAATTTCAGTCAAAGTCGACCTTTTTGCCATGGAAACGCCAAAAATATTTAATTCAGAATTCCAAAACTACCAAAAGGCACCAGTACACCACCAGATCCATGTATGTGCCAAGTTTGGTGAAGACATATTGAACGGTTTTAGAGTTCTGCTCCGGAAAAGACAAATGTGCACGGACGGACGGACGGTGGGAGTCCATTTTAATACCCCCCGCAAAACGTGTTGCGGGGGATAAAAAAACCCATGCAAAGCAAAATGGAGGCGCAAGAGAGAGGAAAAGCATACAGTACTGTTCACTATGAAAAAGGCAAAGGTTGTGTTTAATTTTGTCTTTCAATTTTGCCTGGAAAGGAGGAAATCATCATGCCCCGACTGTGTGCCGCAAGTCGAAACATCGACATCGGCCGCCTAAGAAGCTGGGGCGTCGCAGTTGCCTGACATTTCAACGTTCACCAGAGCACCACATCTCTCCTTTGGGATCGTTTCCTGCAGACCAATTCCGCCAAGATCGTCCGAGAAGCGGCCGTCCAGGAGTTATCTCCCAAGCCCCCGACCGCTACATCAAGGTTGCTCACTTGCGAATCAGCTTGACTGCACATCCTTGACTGCACATCCCATCCCTGGTTTGAGAAACTATCTGGAATCGATTGCGTGAAGTGGAGATTCGACCACGAAGGCCAGTTGTCGCCCCTGTTTTGAGAGACATCGGCGCAATGGCATGCAGTGATGTCGTCGAGTCCGGAACTGGAACCTTAGAAACTGGAGGCAAGTCTGGTTCAGTGATGAATACCGATGTCTTCTTCACAGGCGAGATGGAAGCATGTTATCTTGTGGAGTCAAGTAAACAGGTTCAATAAAGGCTGTTGTTGTGTGGGCAGACTCTTTGTCTATAGACGCGTGAATTTTCACCTTTATTACCATTGAAATTACGTGAAATAATTGCTCTTAAACTAACGCAATACATTCTTTTTCAAGTGGCTTATGCATTTCTTTTTCTTTTTTTAAGACTGTATGCTTTATTTTATTCTAATACTGGGTCTTCAGTATCTACCTTCAGTTGTTGGGTATTGTCCTGATTAGTGACGTTTACAATTTAGATGCTAGTTTTAAATCTATATCTGTTATATTCTACTTGTTTTGGTTTTCTTTGTCGACATAACTTGCTGTTTCACTTTACTTATCAAAGTATGACCTGTTTTAGTCACAATATGGCTGAGATATTGCCTATGTAATGTAAAATCAGGTTGCTATTGAACATTCTAAAACCTCATGCATAATGTACATTCTTCTGTCAAATCTTATGTGAAGGTTGGTAATGGTAAAACGGAAATGTTCTCAGTACGCTCAGGTGTACAACAAGGATGCATTTCAAGGTCGAATTTTAATCATTCATTTCGTTCATTGAAGTTACTGAATAAAAATGTAGATATCTTACAAACATTGCGTGTGCATATCACCAGATATTGATGATATTGTGATGATGCTACTTGCAGATGATGTAGATATATTGTCATATACAGTCGTGCGCCTTTAACAAAAGCTGAACGTTTTGCAACAATTTTGTTTAACGTGATGATTAAGAGTATACAGTACCTTCTTTGGTGTCGATGAAAGTGTGATACAAACCACTGCCTGGGTTAATGACACCACCAGATACTGCATCTGTGTGTCGTGTGATGCATAAGCGACTTCCGTCTGAATACTGGAACTCTTTGCATGACATTCGTGAACACAGAATGGCACAGGTTATAGGCCCAAATACTTCCTGGACTTGAAGATGTTGGGGGTCGTCTAAAGTGGCTGGAGCTCCAATGCCGGTCTTTCTATAATTAGAATGTTTGAAAGTGTATGCCATTGATATACCAGTAACCAAGAAAATGGTCCCGAACAACGTTGTATCCATCTGCATTTTGAAAGACGTTCCAGTCAAGCCAGTCACACAAACTGAAGGGTCTTCCTGTTCTATGCAGTTACGTTAGAATTTTCAGACAGTTACTAGATGTTCACAAGGCAGATACGATTCACACTAAAACGTCGCGTCTATGTTGTATGGCTGAGATAGGATACCATTGAAATGCCGATCAATAAGAATGCTCCACGTAGCTCGATTTGTTTTACTTTTGTTTGCTTTGTATTGCACATTATTCATGATGCTCACAACAAACTGGTTTTCATTGATTTTGATGTTCTGCCACACAACACCTGGGAGTTTTCCGTACATTTTAGCTATTCACTTTCATTTTAAATGCTACTGAAATACAAATAACCGCGGCGGGTTCCCTAAAGCAGGTAATACCAACCTGCATTCTCAGAAGGTCCATGTAGCTCCAGGCAAGCAAACAGGGCCCTGCTATCCTTTCAGTTGCGACAGAACAAAATTTGGTCTCAAGAGTAAAAGTTCATGCATTTGAAATAGGCAGATACAGACTACAACAAAATATACAGACTTGATCAATAGCGCTGCTAAACGTAACCCGTTCTGATGATGCGTACCGAAAAACTGTTTCATTTATTTTAAACGTTTGTCACAACAACCGAGTAGTTTTAATACACTTAAGCTATTTACGTAAATTGTCTGTTGTAAAGATGTCCGTTCCAGTAGCAGCACAGAGGTCAATGTTGAAACATCATACCTCAGTCAGGATCACCCGAATCCTCTTTGCTGCATGGTATATTTTAAACAAAATAAAAATAATTGTCAAGCTTACATCTCAAGAACACTGATATGAGACTCCCGGTTGTTTTGGTACTTCCTGATCTCTTGTCGCAGATCGCCAACGGGAGCAAGGAACTTCTGACACTCTGTAATGCAGAAGGCTGCAGAGTTGGGGAGCCTTCATATTCTCCGGAAAGTTCAAAGCGCACACGACCTAATGGACATTATTACCCCAAGATAATGACTAAACCTTTATTGTTAGTGGCTGTACCTTCAAATGGGTTACAAAAGCGTTAAACAATTGTTCTCAGGAGAAGGTCCCGAAGTCTCATACCATTGATAGTACCGGTCATACTCTGTGATTCTAATAGTGGAATTTGGGTTATGTTTACCTACATGGCGTCACTTTCTACAAATCGACGGTAGCTCGAGGAATGTTGCAATCCCAGTTGGGATACCATGCACGTAGCAGAAGAAACGTCAGCCGAAATGTTCCTTTATATGGTGGCCTAGGTGTTGCTTCTGGTGATCTATAGTCCTATTTAAGTGGTCATTTAGTCATATCTTGCTGCTTAACCACTAATTTTAGACCTATATCTTTGATCGTCTACATATTTTACTGTCCCTTGTTGACAGGTTTCATTTTGAAATGTATTATTTGAAACTATCGTATAACTGTATAACTTGATCAAGTCACACTATTACTGAAATTAAGTTAAATTCAACTCACTTACTCACTCACTCATTGTAATACATTTTAAAACGATACTGACTGCATTTATCACAAATACGTCACACATTGCACGACGTACCTGGACTGTTCTTGTGAAGAGCGTATACTTTCTCCTTAAGGCTTCCCCATCGTTCTTGGCAACAGAGTAGGTGCACACTGATACGACGAAGCAACGGTTTACCAGCTTTGAATGTCGCCACCTCTTTCCACATGGGTTACCATGGAAAGTCAGATTTGAAAGTATGTGAATTAAGTCCTAGGACAGCAATATTCCAGCATTTTGTCACTGGCAGTGTATGAAACACATCAGATACAAGTTCACAATAGCCAAATAAAATATCCTATGATCCGATTTATGTATTGAATGCAACAATAGTTTCTTTTAGTTTTTAGTCTCACCTGTCTGGGAATGCCTTTGGGTATCTCCTGGAAGGTCTAGAATACATGAGTGAGTGAGTGAGTGAGTTAATATTTAACGTCACATCGGCAATATTTCAGCCATATCGTGACGAGAACAGTTGACATTTAAATAGAATACATATACAGATATTAGAAAAACCTGCCGACGAAGGACAGTAAAACAACTAGAATATCACAGATATACATGTAAAACTAGTAATTAAATCTAAAACATTTTACCTTTAGGGGACAGCACAATATAAAAATAGGCAATAGATCGCCAACAACTGAAGGTAGATCACCATACTAGGGACCATGGGGACTTACATTACTTTTGCTACCTGCATGGACCCTAGCTGGATTTACACCATCCCTTCAGCTGCTGGCGATTGGAAGAAATGTTAGCCAAAATTAAAAGAACAAGAATACTACGTTTAAAATCCTGGCAAGTTTGAATTGTCTTTGAATGTTTTGGGACTTACGTACCCTCTCAGGAGGACAATAATTTTACGCTACGTCAACCCCCTTTAAGGGTACAGCCACTAACAATCTCAGTTACTAATAGAAACTACCAACAATATAATATTTAACTATTTACAAATCAGTCCACAAATCTAATTCTTTTAAAAATTCAACTATTAAATGAAAATTAACATTATAAAAAGATCCTTCAATGTCTTGACATTAAAATACTTATCCTTGTGACGGAATATTCAACACAGTCAAGCAGGACATGCTTGACTGTGATTCTTTCATCACAAGGGATGCAAAACTCAGGAGGATCTTCGCCTTTCAGTAAATATTGGTGAGTATATCTAGTGTGTGGCCAATGCGACATCGTCGCATAATGACCTCTTCAAATCTGGACTGACAACCCAAGTAAGTGTAACCGATATAGGGTTTTATTGCATGTAATTTATTGATACCTACTTGGGTGTCCCACTTCTTTTGCATCAGATCACGGATATAAGATCTTATAGCAGCTTTGTAATCAGAGTATGGGATGATAAGTGGTGTCACAGATTTGTTAAGGGCTACCTTAGCAGCAAGATCAGCCATTGTGTTCCCAGAAATGCCAACGTGGCTGGGTAACCAACAAAAGACGATGTCGCCTTGGCCAGTAGCAAGTTCATTGTACAATTCAATAATTTCTAATAAAAGTGGATGTTTGCAAGAAAGATTTTTAATAGCCTGAAGACACGAAGAGAATCTGAAAAGATGATATATTGTTTATATTTACGGTGTTTATAAATATATTTAAGAGCTGTTAGTATTGCGTTTTAGCTTCTGCTGTGAAAATTGAACTGTCATTGGGTAATCTGGAAGAGATTGTTTTGGACCCAATGACAGTGGCACAACTAACCGCGCCACCATCCTTGGACCCATCTGTGAATAAGGATTTATATGTATTATATTTACTTTTTAATTGATTATATTCTTGTTTATACTGTAGATCATTAGTTTCTGATTTTTTAAATTTAGTGAGTGTTAGGTCCACTTGTGGCCTAACCAATTATAAGGAGGAGAAAGAAAGAAGGCGGGAAGGAGCTATATTTTCTAGCTCAATGCCGGCAGCAGACAGGAATGGCTTAATTCTGTGCCCAAGAGGCGGAACAAGAGAAGGTTTTTTGTTGTATAAATCCTCATAGAGGGGATTGAAAACACAGCTAAATGCAGGGTTAGACTCGCTAGAATATAGTTTAGTAATGTATTGTAAAGACAATTTTATACGACGTTGTGTAAGAGAAGGCTCATCTGCTTCAACGTATAGACTATCAACTGGAGAAGTTCTAAATGATCCAAGACAGAGTCTTAGACCTTGGTGGTGAACAGAATCTAGTAGTTGAAGGTTGCTGTTACAGGCTCCGCCATATACGATCGAACCATAATCAAAGTTTAGATCGTACCAATGATCGATATAGGTGGAGGAGGGTAGTTTGATCCCTCCCCACTTTGAGTTGGAAACAACTTTCAACAAATCAAGGGCCTTCAGGCATTTAGATTTAAGAGATTTAATGTGCGGCAAAAAAAGGTTAAATGGGAGTCAAAATTAGACCCAAGAACTTGGCCTCCTTCACAACTTTGATGGGAGTGCCATTTAAAAGATAGTTCTGGGTCTTCATGCGGCTTATATTTTCTACAAAAAGTGTAGACAATTAGTTTTGGACTTGGAAAATTTAAAGCCGTTCTCAAGACACCATTTATTTATTTTATTTAAACACAACTGCAATTGCCGTTCAATAGTATGCATATTTTTACCACGACAAGAAATATTAAAATCATCCACAAAAGTGATCCATCGATTGAATCGTTTAAAACCTTGGATAAACTGTTGATTTTGATACTAAATAAAGTGACAGACAAAATACTGCCTTGAGGGACACCCTGATCCTGATTATAATGATCAGACAGGGTTGAACCCACTCGGACTTGAAATTGTCTGTCTTTTAAAAACTGTGTTATAAAAGAGGCAAACGGCCTCTTAAACCGAAATCATGTAAATCCTTCAAAATGCCATGCTTCCAGGTCGTATCATAAGCTTTCTCAAGATCAAAGAAAATTGATACAGCATGTTGTTTATTTACTATAGCATTCTTAACAAAGGATTCTAAGCGTACCAAATGATCAATGGTACTACGATTTTTCCTGAAACCGCATTGAATATTTGTTATCAGGTTATTGGTTTCAAGATACCATGTTAATCTATTATTCACCATACGTTCCATGGTTTTACAGACACAGCTAGTTAAAGATATTGGTCTGTAATTCGACGGATCTGTATGATCCTTACCAGGTTTTGGAATAGGGACTACAATGGCATTATGCCATGAGGGAGGAAAATTTCAGACGTCCATATTTTGTCAAATAAGTCTAAAAGTGTGACCAGACATGGCTCAGGCAAGTGTTTCAGTAGCTGATAATGAATGTTGTCATCACCCGCTGCAGTGTCATGAGCTTGCTCAAGAGC